CACCCCACCCGTTTCAAAACACAACCCAGTCAGGCTCGGTGATTCAAATTAAATCCAAACAATAATAACAATAAATAATAATTTGATGATAAATGTGTGGTTGGGGGTCAGGAATGGGCGAGATGCAGCCTCCAAGGCAGGCCTGATGCAGAAACCTTGTAAATAAACAAATAAAGGAAAAGCTGAAATCCTGGGGTCTTACAGTTGGACTGGAGGTCCAGCATGGCTTGGTACCACTCGTTCTGGACCTCCTCGCTGTCCGCGGCCACGGCGAAGCTCTCGCTGCGGGTGTAGAGGACTATCATGTGCTTGTTCTTGGAGTCCGCCCGCTTGTTGATGTTGAAGCACGTCTCCAGGCTCAGGACCTTCTTGGGCACGGGCGACTTGCTGCGGAATTTCTTCTCGTTCTCGTAGTACTCGAGCCGCGCGGGACCGTGCTCCGAGGCCGCGCGCAGCACGAAGAAGCGCCGGTGCATGGATTTGTGCTTGCGGAGGTAGCCGCTCTTCTGGACGTCCTCGTAGCTCTGCGGCTCGAGCGCCGCCGGGTTCTCCATGGCCCCCTCCTCCGAACCGAGCCGCGCGCACGAAGCACGCAGTGTGGACTAAAAGAAGGTTCAATTTTCCRGGGAGGAAAGGGGAGGTGGGTGGTGGTAAAACATGAACTTCATTTATCCATGGCGGCTACATCCCATCGTCATCCCCCGTGTCCACCCCGAAGYGTCAAGGAGCATGTGCGCGAGAGCTCGGGGTGGGTGAAATCAGCCCGACCATCATGTTTTTTTATGGCTCCAGGATCCAGCAGCTGCAGGGGTGGGGAGTGCGTGGTGGTGGTGGGGCGGAGGATGGAGGGGTGGGGGGTCCGTGCACCGTCCCAGCGAGCGCAGAGACCACCGCCGCTCGTCCCGCAGCCCAGCCCAGTCCTCCGGTCCAAGCTCGGTGCCGTTCGGCCGCGCGAGGACGTCTCCTCCACCTGTCTGAGGATGCCCACAGCCTGTGGACACCCTCAGCTGTCAAGTCGGACGAAAAACACAACGCAACTTCCTGTTGACGCGTTTCAAAATAAAAGCCGTGCGGAAGATGATTGATCATAAATTGAACCGAAGTATATATATTTCTTCTTGATTTAAGGYGCGGAACAAAAGTACAACTTTGTGAATAAGTTTCCAAATAACTTCTGAAGAGTGCCAATGTAGCTATACAACTAGATTTCTTTCCCTGACTTTAAAATCTGTCAGTGGACCAATTATTTTCCACTTAATTAGGCTTTGCCAACAGTGACAGTAGTAAGCGATTACCTGATAGTGTTGGCCCACAGATTTTTATTTTTTTTACATCTATCTATCTATCTATCTATCTATCTATCTATCTATCTATCTATCTATCTATCTATCTATCTATCTATC